TGTTCTGTCTTCTCGTGGCTTACCTGATCTTCCACTATGCCCCTCTGTTCCTCCGCAGTTGACTTAGAACCTTCATCAGCATCCGCAGTTAGCTTTTAAAGCTTTCATAGCTAGCCCCAGGTAGCTGTAGCTTCTGTGGCGCTGTTTCTCCAGCGGGCTCTCCACTTTGCCTTTTCTCCCCATAGTGCTCTGATATACCGGAGTTCTCGCACTGGTTTCCTGCTACTCCTGTATGAGCTCCAGAATGCCATCTCACCTAACCCTCTGTTGTCCAGGTGATTCATCCCCCAATATGGCACTGAAGGCCCCCGAACTAGGTCACGGATAGGTGGAAGCACAGCTGATAGTGACCATCATCCAGATCTAGCCATAAATCTGTCCCTAGATCTGTCTGTTGGAATCTGGGGAACTAGGAACGCTGACAGCCTTGTTTGGCTTTCTAAAGTAAAAAACACTTGCAGTCGCTACTTTATTCCATGTCTGCCATGATGAGGTGAAACTAAAGACCAGCAGACTCCAAGACAAAAGAGCCTTTCACCAGAATTTGCCTGCTGTGCGAAATGCTTTTGCTGGCAAAGATAATTTCAAGGCGAGTAAAAGCAGACCAAACTGATGAAACAGTTCGGTGTGAACACACCTTTAGTCCCTCGATCCATTGGCTAAAAAGACACTCCTGCAGCATTAGCCTCCCACCAGTGGGGACTTGTTCCTAGGATTGAAACCTTCTACTTTTTTTTTTAAAACCAAATGAAACACAAACTAGTAACCAAACAATTGTCAAACTTGTTTCATCTTGCCATCAAACAGAAGACCACAACGCTTCCTCTTTGTCCAGATGAGCATGATTAAAGACCAAGCAGCCTTTTGTGTTCCACCTGCCCAGAACATCCTCTTAAATGTTCCTCTGTGGGGAACATTTTAATCATTTAAATAATACTTTGGGGTGTAGTCACCGGTACTTGGAAACATTTAAATAATGCCTTATAGCTCTTTCCTCACCTGTGAGCTGCCACAGGTCCTCAGTGAGCTCCTTTATTTTACACGCGACTGTTCATAAACCAGCTGCAGAGAGCTGCTGGTTTTAATCTGTTCAGTTAATTCAAGCAGCTGTTCCTGACGAATTAGGGCATATAAGATGATTTAGGCCAGCATAGAGTATTTGGATTGGTCTAGATATTCAGCTTCTTGTATAGATTGACATTCTTAGAAAGAGTATGTATCACTTTTGAGTCATTTTTTTTATTTTCTTATTGTGTAAATAAAAGCTAAGAAAATAATTTTTCCCCTCTTGTACATCATCTTACTCTTTCTTTAGGAGAGGTCTGTCATTTTTTGGTTAAAGAAAAAAAAAAGCTTTTTGAATAAAATTAACTTTTAGATTTTTTTGTGTGCAAAAATATTGAAAATTACAGCTTTGTACATATAAAAAATGACATTATTGCTGCTGCTGCTATGTTACTATTAATCATTTCTTGAGCTTAAATATTTCTGACAGTTTGAAGGACTTTGCTTTCTTTTACAACAGGTTTGATTTGCCTTTGGGAATGCAATTGTTGAAATTAAATGAAATTGTTTTGCTAACTGTTGTGCTACCTGCAAGATGCTAAAAACAACAGTAAAAGTATCTGTTCCCCTATATTTTTCAAAAAAAAAAAAAACAAAGATAAGAAGTTGAACAGTACTGTGCGTGTCACTTGTCTAATTTGACACAGTAGGAAATTCTTTTTTTTTTTACAGCAGGGGCTCTACAATTATTTCTTGTAACAACGGAAAGGGTCTTTCTCTCCTTCAGCTGAATAGCAGTGTGGTGGAGGTACTGCTACATTACTCAATGCATGTCTTTAAGGACTTTTAAATGTAGTAACAGTATGAGGAGTATTCAGCAGCTTTAAAGCTGTTGTATTTCAAAACCTCACTGCTTTTTGATACTGGTACTAGACCTGTGGTCAGTTAATATCGTAGTTTGGGTTGGTTGAGGTTTTCCAAGCTGCTGCTATTACTGAATCTTTTAGGGACCCTTACTCCCTATGGGAGATGGTAAATCTGCTCCCAGAAAGTAAAAACGCTGCCTAGCTGTCCTGTTCACTGATTCTAAACATTTTAATCTAAAACCTTTAGGGTCTGTGTCCTGCAACCACTAGATGTGTCTCTTGTCCTCCACACCTAAATCAAATGCCTATGCTACCTCACTAGAGCGTAGGCAGCTTGTTTTTGAACCCAGTCACAAACAAGCTCTGCTAATCAGCTCGTTTTTGACTGGGTGTGTTAAGACCAATAAGAATGTAAAAGTTAAAGGACAGCAGCCTTCGTGGACAAACATTGGTTCCTGTCTATGCTCTGAGTCTGTAAATGTAAAAGGCTGTAAATAACAGACTATCTTTTAACTTGATTATCCACCTGTGCTGAAGACCTATCAGTTTGAAAATAAAAACATTTTTGAGGATGTTAGTAAAACATTGGTATATAAGGCTTTATTACTGTTTTCAAGGCTGCACTTTAAAAAAATTAAATTGTCTAGAGCTTAAATTAAATTTATTTTTGTATGCACTTGTGTATAATAAAAATGACAAAATAAATCTGTCTAAGTCTAAGGGCAGAGCTGAGTTAGCTAAGCATGTTAAATCCAGGACCACTTATGAAAGTTATTCAGCTCTCTGAGGAACAAGTATGTTTAGGAATTTCAGCTATGCTGGTGCTTAAACTGGTCTATAGCTGGTGTCTTTCTATAGAACACTGGACCAGTTGGCCTTGACATTTACCAGGATATGGTTAAAAAAATACAAAAATGTCACCTCTGTTTTTAACTGTGTTTTTAATATTTATGGCAATACTTAGAAGGTTTTATGCATGAGGGCATCTCAGTTTGCCTCTGTGATACATTGGAATATCTTATTTTAATCTTTCCAATCTGCCTTCCTTTTTTCTTTTCAGCATTTTTGCTATTTCTTTTCTTTTCCAAGAATTTTTTTTTCAATATGCTAAGTTAAATAAGTAGTAAATCATTATATTTTAACAATAAACTGATGAACTAGACATATTTTAAAGATAAGATAGGCCTCTAGGTTACTAATGAACAATAGAAGTGGTGAAACACGTTGGATTTTCAATATAGAGATGTTAAACTATAATTAAAAGACTATTATTGGATTATTTGTTGACATCTTTAAGTCTGATTTTTTGATTATGCAAACTGCAGCAGTGTGGGGTGGCTACACCCTGGTGCAGCAAAGAGGGGGCGTCGAAAAATAATACTGAACTTAGGCCAGTTTGCCTCGACAGAGCAGTCAGAGCGAGTCTCAATTGGTGACAGAATTTGGGGTGGGAAGGCGGCCATGTTTGGGGGGGCTGAATGGAGTTAACCAACCCTGAACCAAGACATGTAACCCTTTGCTAGGGCACTGTAGCTGCTCTGATCAGAGGACAGGTTTTTCACGAATATGTGCAATAAGGTCATGAATCTATTTAAAAAATATAATTTCTGCAGCTGATCAACGACTGAAAGTCAGTATACAGCATCATTACCACTGACAGCGTAACGGCCCGTTATACAGAAAAACGGTAGAGAGAACCTTAATTATTTCTCATGTCTATCCACTTTGGGAGTTGATGTCCACAGAAATGTTGTAAAAGAGGATAATAATCATACGTAATCACTGCCTTAAATAGCGAGGTTTTAGTCATTAACTGATCACTTATTAATTGACTGCTTGTTTAATATGTTTAAGAAAATCAAACCTGATAATCTCTGGTTAAAGATATGGTTTATTTGCATGTTTACAATGGGCGTTTGATAAGTAACACTCCTGATACTCTTCCAGTTGTTTGATCTCGCTAAAATTTTGCATGTCCAATTATTTATATCTCTATATATTAAGCAGAAAATTACAGCTCTGAACTAATCGTGGTTTGTGATGTACTGGTGTTTGAACTGAGTAAAGTCTGATATGGAGGCCTTTGAGTGTCCAACATTAATCTGGTTTTTGTATTTGATTGATTTGAAAGATGCACACCACATAACTTATGGTGATGATGCCCCATCTTATGACCTTTTAAAATGTTTTACAAGGCTATATAATGGGGCATCATCACCATAGGTTACTTTAATTTCATCTTAAGTCTCCTGTGGTGTGCCTTCTAATTGGACATGCAACATTTCAGCCAGATCAAACAACTGGAGGTGGGTCAGGGGCGTTACTTATTAAATCGTCATCATGCATATGAATTACATTTATTATATTCTTGAAAAGTGTATATTTTTGGAAGTGACTCTTTGTCCAACATTGAATTTGTTTCTTTAGATGGGAAATGCCACAAAAACAGTAACAAAAAGTCTTTCTTAACCCTTTTAAGTTGAGGCTCTGGTTTATGTTCAGTTGTTGGGTAGTATTTTTGAGGAAGTAAAGATAGATGTCCCTCTCCTCTGCATGTCAGTTAGCACGTGACAGCTGGGTATGGCACACTAAACAGTCCAGATTAAATTACCAGGCAAAGGAAAGTGAATGGTCTTTGTTTTGCAATTTAAAGACTTCCCAACTCGAAAGATTTTTCATTTCCTGTCAAACTTGAGACGATTTAAGCTCTAAACACATAGGAGCTACAAGCCCAGGTATTTGTGGGAATGTTTCTTGTCAAACCACATGCTGCAAAAGTTTTGCAGACTGTTTCCACCTAACCATCGCAGGATGAATTCATCAAGGGAGATGAAACTAGTCTGTTAGAAGCAAAGGCTAGGTGTTTAATTCATCTGCTCAAAAACACTTGTGGGGACTGTGGTAGAAACATGGAATGAGGCATGTGATGCTCTTTTCAGGTCATAAGCTCCCTCTTGAGAAAGTGGTTGCAATAATAAAACTGAGTCATTGATTATTTCAAACAAAACAACAAATTACACTATCAGAATAAAAATGTTCATCTTGACTTAGATTTCGATAGTTTTCACTATTGATGCACAAGATCTATATTTAATGTAACATATTTAATGTTTTTTTTTTTTTTCAAAGGTGGCTGCTGCGGTTCAGATCAGAAGAACTATGTTGTTGGGGGCTGGGCTTGGGCCTGGTGGCTCATCTCTGACATCCAGAGGTAAGAACCTTTCTGCTGTGTTTTTAGCACAGACAAATTGCCTCATTGTGCGTTTAGACTCAGTCAGGAAACATCTCAGAGCAGAATGCCTTTCTCTCTCTTTATGAGATTTACCTTTAAAGCTTTTGTTTTGATAATTCAGTAACTCTGTAACTGGTTCTTTAACTGACTCCTAAAGGACAGTATATATCAGAGGTAACGGATTAGCGGACCAGAACCGTTTCCGGACCTACTTGCTTGCTAATCCGGACCCAACCTAATTTAAAACATTTATAAATTACTACATGTCGTTCGACGACATTGTCTAAACACCACCTGCAAAGCTTCTCCTGTTAATATGGTAAAGCATTCTGGACGTACGGCACCAGGCTACATGTGATGCAAATTAGCCAATGGGCTGCTGCTGCTACTTTAGACATGGCAGGCAAACCTGTGGCAAACAGGCCAATGGGAAAGAAGGAGAAGACGATAAGAAAAAGAGAGCAGAGAAAGTGCAGACTATTAGAAGAACGGTGGTGAACTGCTGAAAGAAAAGTGAAATGGTGTGCTCAAAGATGACCCTGAGGACCCTGAATGTTTGACTCAACCTACTGCTGTGAAGCAGGATTCTCCAACATGAACATAATTGAAAAATAAAATATCGATGCAAGCTCTCGAATGAGCACATTTATATTTGCTTGAGAATGGCTTTGTCAAAGCTTCAGGCTTTGTGCAGCCTAAAGCCCACTGCTCTCATTAAGCCGTAAAAAATAAAAATAAAATAACTGTCAGTTCAAGTGTTTTATAAAAAAGGTGAGTCAGGAAATTGTCTATATACCTAACTCTGCTTATAAAACAATTAAAATTTTAAAATCGAAAAAACTTTCTATTTTTTATATTTTTATTTAAAAATTCAATATATAACATGGGTGCATAAACACCAGCATTTTATTTCAGTCTTATATTCTGTTTAAAGCAATAGATTATAATTAAAAATGTCTCCGGACCTTTACTGGTTGTTGATTTTAGGTATTCGCGCCCCACTGATTTTTAATTGGTTAACCCTGGTCTATATCATTCATTTCCATTGTCAGTTCGGCCACTGTATTTGCATTTTAAATTTGCATTTAAAATCTCTGTAAAAAGGAATCTGCACAGCTTTTTTTGGGGGGGTTAGCTTACCTACTGCCAGCTAGGCTCACATTAACCATGGTGCAGCTGAGGTGTAGGCACTACAAGGAACCCATATAATTCAAATAAATGTGTCTATTCACACCTCATGCAGTGGGGGTACAGTTATAGTGGGCGTGTGGATCAAAAGTGAGCATGAGACAAAAAAAAAAAGTTGTGGTGACTTTCAGACTAAAATAAACGCACCAAAACTCATAACCTGAACAAAAGAGAAATGGAGCGGCTAACCAGATTGATAAAATGTGGATAGTTATGTGAATTGATATCAGGTTTTGCTAATAATTCCCAGAACAAGTGTGAATAAACTTTTTTTCTCTCTATCGTTTCTGCAACTGGAGCTGCCGCAGGATGACCTGGTTGCAGTATTCAGTCTGGGTGTCTTTCTGCGGCACAGCAGCTTAACTGCTTTCAGTGTGAGCCCAGAGTTACTGTAAGGCTAACTAAAAGAAGGACAGGGTTGGTTTAATTAACCAGATATTTACCTACACTTACTACCATGGTGCTTTCTGAAAGCAAAACTGTCTGTCTCAGATATAGAGAAAGCATTTTGTACCTTATGCATTTCATTAGCTGATGGGTCTCTTTACTTATTTGTAGATGCTGTATTTTTTGTGTGTTTTTTTTTTCTTTGAAGTAGGCCCTATTGTCTTTTTGTTTTACAGTGTCCTGTCTGGCAATGTGGCAACAAGAATAATTGTCTTGATGCCAAAAAAGGGCCCTGCAGATTTTACTTTCACAAGTGGAGCAGTACAGCTATCACCATAGTGTTCCGCTTGATTTATGCATATAAATAGCTTTATTATATTATAGAGAGAGTAATACAGATTATATGGACACTGCAATGTAAGTAGAACAGGAAAGAAAAAAACAGAACAAAGGAGAAAAGATGAAATAAAGAGGAGATAAAAGGGGGAACATGTTAAAATGTCTTCAGTCTGCTTCATCACCTGCAAAGACAGATGTAAAATAAATAGTCCCTATTGTTAAGGCATTTGAGTCTTTGATGGTAATGCGGGGACTCTGGTTCCAATCCTGGTTGGGCATTTACCGTTAAAAACTCTTCCAACTCTGTGAGTGAGTCATAATGGCATCCAATGGTGGCCCCTTAATTTGGCAGCTCTTTTTAATTGACTTTTTTCCACTGAAAAAAAGATCCAGTTGTCCTGAGATCTTTAGTACGGATTTGTAATGTGCGTAAAATCTGCAGCATTGAAATGTTGCTGCGTTTTGTGATTAAAGTAATCATTATTTTCCAGGTGTAGGCCACCTCTTTCCATAAAACATCTAAAATACCTGATAACTGAAACAAGAATAAACCTATGAGGAAAAACCTGATCCAACATTATTGAAATGAAAGGCCACATTTCAAAAGTGAGAAAACGTCTTTATTGGTAAAATACTCTGAGAATAATTGTGTGTGTGCAAAAGTTGAACGAACAATTTTACAGTTTGTTATTAAAGGTACACTATGCAACCGGTGTTGATTTTCCAGTGAGGCTCCCTCCAGAGGGCGAAAGTAAAAGTGCACTGTCGTAAATATGCTCAGCTGTTCTCCTGGTTTCTCCGTCAAGCCAGGCGCGGTTGTTTTGAGCTTAGCAGCGAATGACTAACGCTGCGTTCACACTGGATGTAGCTGGCGCGACAGAAGCAGAGAGTTTACATGCAAAGGTCCCGCGGCGCGTTTTGAGCTGCAGGCGCAGCACGTCTGAGCGGCTGCAGCAGCGCGTCGGGTGCGTTTAACGCAGGGAGAGAGACACAGCGCTGATGATCACTGCTCTTAAACAGTTTATTGACGCCTAAATTAACTTAAAATGCAGAAATCTGCCGGCAGAATATGCAGTTTGGATTATTTAGATGAAAAACACCTACCAGCTGCCGCGGTGAACCGCTGCTGATGAAGGGATCCATACTGTCGGCGCATCCCTGGTATGTGGGGGTCTGAGCGGCTCCGACAGAAAAAATATTGAAGGCAGGATAATAATCTGAATGAACTGACTGCACTGATTACGTTTTCAGGTGTATTTTCTCACTTAAAAACATATTAAAACTACTTTATTCCCACTGATCACAGCAAATATAGCTGCAAGGCAGAGAAAGGATAGTGAAGCTCCGCCCAACGCGCCTCAGACACACTTTTGCAGCCAGAGCAGCAAAGCTGCTTCAGCCGCGCGTCAGTACTAACTGGTACAAGCAGCAAAAATGAAGCAGCAGATGCGATTTTGCTGCTTTTGCTGCGTGAACGTAGCATAACTGCACAAAGATTGCCACTGTGCTAGCAACGAGAATGCTTTTAACTGGGGGCGTGTAGCAGTTCTTGCCGTAAAGCAAGACTGACTCTCACGAGACTTCTGAGCCTGTGGGTGCGGGTCGGTGCTCCTGCAGTTGCAAGTGCGGTATTTCCCCCACAGACCACCAGGGCGGCCGAGAATACCTTTGTTCAACCTGAAATGACTCATTTAGTCATCCATAACGTTATGGAACACATTAATTAACTGAAAAATGTTGCATAGTGTCCCTTTAACCCACATCACAATTGTTTATACAGGTGGATGCAAACATAAAAAATTGCTTCTTTACTCCTTCTCGAACTGACCAATGGAAGCAATTATGTTTGTCTGCACTAGGGGTGGAACAGTTCACAAAATCCACGGTTCGGTTCGGTATATGTTGATTGTTACCCCGAAGTCCCATAATAATTAATGAAATTAATGAAAAAATCAAAAAAATTAATGAATTGTAATTATTTTTAATGATTCGCGGAAACCCTGGATCATTTCCACATGTTCTGCTGCTTTGAATTTAATCATCTCGCGCATGCCCTCTACGATCTCCAAGGAACTCTGAGCGGAGCGGACGGGAGCCACAGTGGAGGCTGTAGGCTTTGCTTTGTGCAGGCGGTCTGGAGCGCAGCGGGGCGGAGCGGAGCGCTGACGGAGTATGTGGGATTTCGGGGTTAGCATTACATGTTGGTCATCATAAACAAAACGTGTTGCACAATGCTTGCACACTGTTTTTATCCACAACTTTCTTTCCGCTGTCATTGTAGGTCACTCTAAATGCAAAGCGGTCCCATACAGCAGACCTATAAAGTGCTGCTGGCGCGTCTTCCAACTCCTGTTCTTTCCCACTCACCAGTCCAACACAATTCTCCACAACAACTGATTTTTTTCTGCTACACCCGGCTAAGCTGCTTCACTTCTTCTTCTTCTTGTTTACTACTCGTGGTTGGCTTTGGTCGCAGTACCGCCACCTTCTGCTCTGGAGTGTAAACGCTTCGCCTATGAGAAAAAGGAGCAGCGCATGAACCGAACGAAACACACGCGAACCGAACCGAGGCAGTCGAACCGAACGGTTCGGACGGTTTTCATAAACCGTTCCATCCCTAGTCTGCACTCAGATAAATAGAAATGGGTCTTGGCTCCACACTTCAGAGGAAGCCTTGGCCAAGAAATGTGGAGAATGTATTCAGCATTTAGGGATTTGAAGAGTGTAATATGTAAAGCTCAGTCTCTCCCCAAATCTTTTAAAAAATTAATTAATTAATGAAGGGTCAAAACATTTATTTTACTAAAATAAAGATAGTAATCTTTAAAAGTACCCATAAGTTACTCTCAAAATCTTTTTATTGTTTCAGAAGTTTTTCATTTTCATTTTTCAAATCTGTTCTTTGCTTTCAATAATATTGGAGGGATTTTTTCTCCATTTAAACCAGTTTCTCTTTAAGAGATGATAAGCAAACAAACCTTAAGGTATAAAGTTCAGCAGTTCATGTACCTAAATGGATAATAAACTGAGTTACCAGTCTGTAAATGTAAAAAATGTGTTTGCTTGCCTCCTTGTTTCTGCTTAACTAACTATAACTTGCTTTTCTTCATCTTTGGTGATCTCAGGGTCTCAGCTTTAAAACATGACGTCACTTTTACCACTTATATTAAGTGCAGCTGTCTGTCTGTCGTTGCTAGGAAATCTGAAAATGGACCTCTGTGATAAAACCTAAATGTTTATGCAACATTTAGATCCTTCTCTGTCTTCATGCTTTATGTCCAGCATGCACAGTTTAGATTAATTTAGATAATTTCTGGTATAGATGTGCAGATTAATAATTTAAGATAACCCTGCTTGTACATGTTGGCGTCGACTGCATGTTGAGACAGTGGGAAAGAGCCTGACTTCCTGTTTAGATGCAGCATTATCTTAATGTTCGGACCTTTGACTCATTGATCAAGCAGGATCTGTATAGAAGCTGCATTTAGGCTTACAGTTTGCAGCTCTGGTGGTTTTAACAAAATGAAACCAAGTCCTTTATAAAAATTAAGATAGAGAGCATAAGCTAACGGAACACTTCAGATCAGCTGGTATAGGAAGGAGGATGTAAGTATTTATCTTGGGAATCAAGATCCTCTATATATAACTTGGGGTTTTTATTTTTGAGCCTTACTCTGTTTGACTGACTCTTTTTAAGTACATCATTGGCTAAACAGTCATCAGAATGAAAACAGATGAGAAAACAAAAGGTCCTGCAGTTTGTTTTGCTCCCTTCCCTCTTCTTGATGTTGGTTACTGACGATCCTAACAGCTGTTGTCCAACTTACTGTTTTGCCTCTGCTATTCCTGCCGCCTGCCTGCCTGTCTGCCTGCATAGAATGTCTCTGGAGGTTATGACCATCCTCTGTCGCTGTGAGAATATCGAAACCTCGGAGGGTGTTCCCCTGGATGTGACAGGGGTGGCTCAGGTAACGCACTGGAAAAGGAAAACAAAGGAGCTGCTGGTGCTCAAGGCTCAAGTCAGGCAAAAGAAAATAGTGCCACTAACAAACTAACTGCTTCTAAAATGGGGAACAGAGAAAGTTATGTTTCAAATTCACATAAGTAATCCTGAGTTACATCCGAATTCAAAGGAGGCTGAATTCTGGATGAGTTCTATTGCTGCCCTGCTGCTGGTGACCTGGAGTCCTTGGGTGAATGGTTTCACTTTGTCTTTTTTTGGTGCTCCTTTTTTCCTTCCCTTCATTTCCTTTCCCTGCGTACACATCAATTTTTATTTGATATTTTTCCACATTCTTCACAGGATAACCCTTGAGATTATGACCCTGCAGCCCAAGTGTGAGGATGTAGAGACAGCGGAGGGTGTAGCTATAACTGTCACTGGGGTGGCTCAGGTAAATCATCACACTTTTCTGGGAATGCCAGATCAGATTCCACTAACCCCGTACCCATACCTTCCTTTCTCTGGCAGAAAAGCCCACAATCAAAGCAGAGGGGGGGTTTATACACAGAGCTCAAGATGCACTCTCAGACTTTGAGCCAAATTGTTTGCATGATTTTATCCTAATTTCCATCTCCAAACAGATTGCATCGAGCTGAAACCCCTGATTAGCTGCAGACAGTGTTGTGTTTTCTGATTTTTTTCCGGGCTGTCATGTTTAATTCAAAGCTAAAATGTGTGATCAAATGACAAACATTATTAAACTGAAATGATCCACAGTGAAAAATAAAAGCTTTTGCTGCTTTAGGCTGACTCTCTATCCTTAATACCTTTTGTCTACTGCCATCTGGTAGTGATCCATTCTGTATCAATAAGCTGCCACAGAAGAATTTAGACATGTTTGTTAAGTTTTTTTTCTTTTCCTACCCTATTTTGAATCCAAGTTTGTAGAGTCTGGCCAGGTGCCAGTTTTCCATTACATGGTATGCATCAAACAATTTTGCCTAAATTGCAGTGTCTACTTTGTGTACTTAAAAAAAAAGAGGGACAGAAAATTAAACAACTGCAATATTTAAATAAAGAAATTTGCATTTGGAATTTTTTAAGTATTAATTTTAATGCCTCTTAAGTGTAATAAATGTTGACAGGTTGAGTTTGTCTTCTTTAACAATGTTGGCATGTGCTACGTGATCCTGAGCTTTCTTTAGGAATCACTATCAAATGTCAAAACAAAGATAGCAAACTTGATTATTAGCAGTTAGCAGGCAAATGATTACAGGTCTACAATTTCAGGCGAAAGAAGGCAGAAACTGTACATTACATCTATTAAATATCACAGTTAGAGCTTGATTACTAATAAACTAATTAGGAGCTTAACACAAAGCATTTCTGTTTACAAAGATCAGGAGCACACTTGGTTAAAACTGACAATTATCTTTTTTTTTGTCTCTATACTACTTAAAACTAGCTGCTAGGTTTTTTAAATGTTCCATCTAGTTTTTATTTTAGCCAACAAAACTAGCCAGGAATTCAGTTATAACATTAGATATATCCCAATCTAATTTTTCCAAAATAGCAATATCAAGACAAAGGTCCACTGCCAAACTGTATTACAATATTACCAATGCTATGTTTGTGTTTAAAATCTCAGTAGATTTAAAGTAGAGTCAAATATTTCCACATTTGATCAGTGTTAGATGGTTTATGTTAGCATTATAATGACTTAACCCTCAATTTGCCCAGCAGTGGGGTTCTGTGTTCTTCTCGAAACAGTAGATATTATGCGTCAAAGGGAGTTTCTGCAGAACAGCCTTTCTACCTAAATGTTTATTGACCTATATACATAGTGCTGTAGACTGTCTTGCTCCCACTAGTGATGTTTTAGTGCAAAGATGGTTAGCTAAAGTGCTAGGTTAATGCTAGTATCTTTACCGCTCGTCTCAAAAGGCCAGTCCTGTTTGTTCGACATGCCTGAAACAAATGTCTAAATAGCCTCATTAGCTCTGCAGAGCTCTGCTAACGAGGTCATACTGGAGTCAGGTTTGTTAAAGCGTCTGAAAGGAGCAAGACTTTCGGCCCTCAAGGATTTGATTTTTGCTCTTTGCTCTTTTGTTTGTTTTTATAATTCAGCCTGTAAAATATTAACTGACTCGAATTTTAAGTTTACTGAAAACATTTCTCCCACCCCTTATAACCTTAGCGTTTTGGATGTCATTAAATTATATGATCGTTGTTTTAGCTGTTTTCTGAGCAGCGTTACTTTCTGTCATGTCACATGACACTGAAGCAGCCTGTGTAGTCTCTATAACACTACTACCATCATTGGAAAGAGTGAAAAAATGTTTAGATTGTTCATCCATGTCATTTAATTCAATTTTGAAAGCTTTTCACAAACAACAGGCCATTATAATTGACTGTATAAAATCGTGGTAGTGAAAAAATGCCCCTTCAATAGGTGCTATTCAAAGCCCTTTGTGCTTTTGTCACCGCGTCATTAAGTTGCAGTGCTTGTTTTTAAAACACACATGCAAAGCAAAGGTTTGTAGAATGTTAACACAAGCAGAAATATGTGTCTCACCACAAAAGCTTTGAAACACACAGAGTAAAGAAAGAAGTTATCCTACCAACAATTGGAGGGTACTGTGAGAAACAGAGCAGGAAATGGATGTCGTGTTGATCTATGAATCAAACCATGTAGTGGAAAATCTCTGTCAGACCAAAACATGAACAATCAGGAGACCTTCATCTCTGTTCAGAACGTAATAGAGACGCCAACATATATTGGAGTGCATTTGATTTGGAATTAGTGTTTATGTTAAACTTTCAGGTCATTCACACATTGTTTGAAAAAGTGTCAGCCCAGACGTTGCTAGTGCTAAACGTTTCTTTTGTTTTAAACAAAAGTTATTATAGAGAAAATCCACCATAATATGACATTTATCTCCCTTTAGCATGGTAATTCATTGAGATCACTTTAAATGTTTTATTTAAAGCAGGCTTTACTGTTGCAGCATATTTTTTTTTTTACTATTTTCTTGTAAAGACAAACATGATCCAACCACATTGTATAAAACAGGACAGATTAATTTAATGTGTCAAAAAATGCAACTTTAAGCAGGTTATCTGCTTACATGTGGTCTTTATTATTACATTATTAACAGCCACACTGTTTTTTTAAGTAATTGTGCGAAGTTTCTGGGTAAACAAGTGTTTTAGAAAAGCAGATTAAAGGATTAAAGTCCCTCTTTGTTCAAAAAGTAAACCTATCATTTTACTTGCTTTGTGAAATTATCCTATTATTTCTGCAACAATCCAATTCAGCGCAGATTCTGGTGGATTTTCTCTTTAAAAATTGTTAAACACTATTTGCAGCTTTTTCCCTCAAAATGAAATATTTTCATTATTTGGTTTCTTTCTTCCTGTCTGCATGTCACAGCCAATTATCAGTTCTCTATTCTACCCACTCTTCCCTTTCCTTCCTGTGTTTCCCTAGTTGTAACTGACAATAAGCCCACTGTCTACAGCTAAGCACCCCCTCTCACTTTCACAGTTTAACCCAAAGGCTCATCAGAGCCACCGTTTATCTGCCCAAACTAATCCAGAGCCATTGTGGCCCTTTTCTATGGTAACAAGTCGTATGTTCCTCCACAGTTCAACATGTTTAGACTCAAAGAGGGTAACTGAATGCAAACTATTCAAAAGGAAAACACAGCAGGAAATAATGTCCATATTAGGGAGTTTTATTTAATGATATTTAAATTGCTCATATTTACTTTATTTATCATCAGTGACAGCAATCAGTCAATAAAACACAATCACAATCCTTTTTTTTTTTTTTTTTTTTTTAGTAAAATTAGTTTAAGTTTTTTAATAAGTCACACGTTGGAGGAAAGATGGTGTCACATATCCGATAAGGGGATTTGCCTGTAAGACTAAAAGAGTTTTTCACCATCACCGTTCAACAGTCCTTGTTTAAGCCTGAACCGTGACACAGCTCCCCCTGCTGTCTGTCTGAGCCGTCATGCATGTGTTGATGTGGTTGGCTTGCAGCCTTCTCCGTTTTTTAGATACTGTTTCTTTGGAATGATAACCGTCTGTCATGACTTTATGTTTCCCTCATTTCTGGAATGGAGTGCATGTTGTAAAGCCAAACCATGTGCAGACCTCTCGCCTAAGGACCCAGCTCACTGTCTTTTACATTCTTTCAGCTCCTGTGGACGACTATCAAGCTATACCTTGTTATTGCTTTCTGGTTAGCTGTTAATGCCCTCATTTGGTGAATCCCATGTCAATCCTGTAAAAAAGAACCAGTGGGGCTTTTTAATCCCTAAATTTAAATGATTTACTTTGTTTTTATTTTTTGTGACTGGATTTCAGTTTTATGTACTTTTTCTATTCCACGGGACTGTAAACACATAATCAGAGCTGGACAATGAAGATGCTGCTGAAATATTATTATATCTAAAATATATGTACATTTTACAAGAGGTGTTAACAGAACTTTTATAAAGTTCTTATATAAAATTTTGTATCAAAAAGGTAAAAAAACAAACAGCAAGACTTATAATTGTGCAACAGATTTCACTAATGTGTATCACAGAAGGAATAAGTGCATACCTCAGCATTCACCAACGTGTAAAAGGTTTCTCAGATTTACACTACTCAAACAGTACAAATAATATTAGAAGACGCATACAAAGTGGTAAATGAGTTTACTCCAATCGTCAACTGTGAACTGGTAAGTCAACACAATAGCATCGTTAAGCTTTTGTGGGCTCAGGACCTTTGAGACTTTAGTAGTGCAAAGGGATTTAAAAATGAGTCGATGTATTTAAGGCTGGAAAAAACTTGGGTATTGTTTTTGGCCCAGCAACCAAATAACCCCTATTTAAAAAAATATATACAGGTGCTGGTCATAAAATTAGAATATCATGAAAAAGTAGATTGATTTCAGTAATTCCATTTAAAAAGTGAAACTTGTATATTATATTCATACATTACATACAAACTCATATATTTCAGATGTTTATTTTGTTTAATTTTGATGATTACAAATGACAACAAATGAAAATCTCAAATTCATCATATCAGAAAATTAGAATATTACTGAAGACCAATAAAAACAAAGGATTTATAGAAATGTTGGCCAACTGAAAAGTATGAACATGAAAAGTATGAGCATGTACAGCACTCAGTATTTAGTTGGGCCTCCTTTGGCCTGTATTACTGCAGCAATGCGGCGTGGCATGGAGTCGATCAGTCTGTGGCACTGCTCAGGTGTTATGATAGCCCAGGTTGCTCTAATAGTGGCTTTTAGCTCTTCTGAATTGTTGGGTCTGGTGTATTGCATCTTCTTCTTCACAATACCCCATAGATTTTCTATGGGGTTAAGGTCAGGAGAGTTTGCTGGCCAATTAAGAACAGGGATACCATGGTCCTTCAACCAGGTACTGGTAGCTTTGGCACTGTGTGCAGGTGCCAAGTCCTGTTGGAAAATGAAATCTGCATCTCCAAAAAGTTGGTCAGCTGCAGGAAGCATGAAGTGCTCTAAAACTTCCTGGTATGTGGCTGCGTTGACCCTGGACCTCAGAAAACACAATGGACCAACACCAGCAGATGACATGGCACCCCAAACCATCACGGACTGTGGAAACTTTACACTGGACTTCAAGCAACGTGGATGAAGTGCCTCTCTTCTTTTCCTCCAGACTCTGGGACCTTGATTTCCAAAGGAAATGCAAAATTTACTTTCATCAGAGAACATGACTTTGGACCACTCACCAGCAGTCCAGTCCTGTTTCTCTTTAGCCCAGGCAAGACGCTTCTGACGCTGTCTGTGGTTCAAGAGTGGCTTGACACAAGGAATGCGACAGCAGAAACCCATGTCTTTCATACGTCTGTGTGTGGTGGTTCTTGAAGCACTCACTCCAGCTGCAGTCCACTCTTTGTGAATCTCCCCCACATTTTTGAATGGGTTTTGTTTCACAATCCTCTCCAGGGTGCGGTTATCTCTCTTGCTTGTACACTTTTTTCGACCACATCTTTTCCTTCCCTTCGCCTCTCTATTAATGTGCTTGGACACTGAGCTCTGTGAACAGCCAGCCTCTTTAGCGATGACCTTTTGTGTCTTGCCCTCCTTGTGCAAGGTGTCGATGGTCGTCTTTTGGACAACTGTCAAGTCAGCAGTCTTCCCCATGATTGTGTAGCCTATAGAACTAGACTGAAAGACCATTTAAAGGCTTTTGCAGGTGGTTTGAGTTAATTAGCTGATTAGAGTGTGGCACCAGGGGCCATCAATTTTGAACCTTTTCACAATATTCTAATTTTCTGATATGATGAATTTGAGATTTTCATTTGTTGTCATTTGTAATCATCAAAATTAAACAAAATAAACATCTGAAATATATGAGTTTGTATGTAATGTATGAATATAATATACAAGTTTCACTTTTTAAATGGAATTACTGAAATCAATCTACTTTTTCATGATATTCTAATTTTATGACCAGCACCTGTACTTACATTAATGTGACATTACATTTACTGGACTGCTGAAAAAAAAATGTTCCTCTTTTTCTGTAACACCATTGCCATCTTGAGGGACTGCTTTAACCTCCATCATGTGACCGACTTCACACAACTAGGGCTGCTTTTAAAATGATAATTTTTCAAATTCTTAACACATTTGCATATTAAATCCTAAAGATTTATGGCTATAACTGCATAACCACACTCTTTAATTCAACATAGACAGATACATTGGCCAGCAGATATTTTTGGCATTATACGGTAAGCATTTTCTTTTTTGTATCAATATCAGCCAATATGTGCAGGCTGTAGGCAGATTTATCAGAGCAAGAGCTCCCAAACCCCCTAAAGGGGATGTTGGGTAATTGCAAGGGGTGTGGTAGAAATTAATTCAATAAATGACTGTGGAACCACTTTAATAACTCTGTTCAGCAATCATGCCTATAGATCACATGAAGTGCATGCATTGCTGCTTCGTCCGTTTGATATCTGTTGTTAATGTTTAGTTTTATCTGATACTCTTTTGTTTTAATTGAGACTTGTGTAACATCTGATATCTCATTTTTATTATCTAAATGCAATATCTGCTCTAAGAATTGGCACAAAAATAGGTTAAACTCATGGCAAAAAAATTGGTATTACCATCATCCTAAAAAAAAAAAAGACCCTGTTGGTCGACCTTTTTATTTAATATTAGCAATCCAAATAAATTTGGATCCAAATAGTCGATTCTTGAATATTTTAACGGATACCCAGCCCTATCCACTACACAGTCTATTTCTAAATGTCATTTTACTGGAAATGAACATAACAACATTTATCATCTTAGAGCAATAATAAGTATCAACACATAGATGTTTTTGAAACCTTGTACTTTGCTCACTGCTTATAAGTTTATTCCCATCAACATCAACTGTTAACTTTATTCTATAGTTTATGAAACAGAAGAAGCTACTGATTAAAATTTGTTTCTTTCAGCAGTACAGTCTAAACTACAGTGTAGTCCACAGGGGTTGCAACTTTTAGATGTGTCCCTACTTTAACATGCCAAAATCAATTCATCGGATCACATGCAGGACGCTGGGGGGAGTGGCGGCCCAGTGGTTAGGGCATAGAGCTGGGGAATCCTGAGGTTGTGAGTCCAAAACCCACTCCATTAGATTGCCATATTGGGTCTCTGAGCAAGACCCTTAACCTCCGATTGCTCCCTGGACACCCCATGATGGCAGCCCACTGCTCCTCAAGAGTTAAATGGGTTAAATGCAGAGGTAAAATTTCTCCAATATGAGATCAATGGAGTTTATTATTATTATTATTATGAGAACATGGCTGCATGCTGACAGGGATTCAGCAATTGATTTGGGTGTGTTGGATCAGGAAACTAAAACTGAAAAGTCAGTCCTTGAGGACTTGAGTTTGACCCCCCAAGAATTATTTCTCAAATTTTTATAATTCACTCAATGTAATATGTTATTTTTAATGTTGTGGTTATTGGGCCGAAATCATTATGAAAAGGTTATTTTCAGTAAATCCAGTAATGCTCCAAACTTTACAATGGGAATGTTGAGGTAAACATTTATGCATTCTGTGATAAAGATCAGTTAATTCTGTTTTATACATGGAAGTCCTGCTTTATGATTTGCAAATCTTTTTGAAACAAATTTTGCTTTGTAAGAAATTCATTGGGGTTAAAGCAAAGCCTGCATTTTTGGGTTTATATGAAAGAAATTACGGTTTACTAGAGGGATTAATTTGAAATATTTGAAAGTAATATCCGTGAGTATTGCTAGAGTGTTGAATTCCCCATTTCAATGACTCTAGCTCCAGCATCTGATGTCAAATGTTTCTTTTAAAAAATTCACCGTTCATTCATTCATGTCACCAAAGCACTTAGAAAGACCTCTTTGAACATCGTCACCACTTGTATCACTTCTTGTGTAATGCCCAACTGTGTTCAGTCAGCTGTTTTTAATACCACAGTAATGAAGTGAAACTGAGCCTGTTTGTTTGCCTGTAGATAGCAGAAAAGCTAACAGGTTTTACCATATGCCGCTCCTGTGTTTGTAAATGTGTGTTCAGCTGACAATCTGTGTCCATGCTGCGCACTAGGTGAAGGTGATGACTGAGAAAGAGCTGCTCGGTTACGCCTGTGAACAGTTCTTGGGAAAGTCTGTGATGGAGATCAAGAGCGTCATCCTGCAAACCCTGGAGGGTCACCTGCGTGCCATCCTGGGTGAGTAGCCTCTGGAAAAATACAGTTTTACTGATTGAACTATCTCACATTTAATCCACTTACAACCACAAGCTGCAGGGTATTTTATCAGAATGAGCCTTAGCTTTATTGGCCAAGATTGCACGGACAAAATGACAATCTGCCCCCAATTTCATCTGCCCACAGTTTATAGTTTGGATTATTGGTATTTAATGCAATAAAATGAGAAACAAATTGGTTCATTTTATAAATGGAGTCAAATATCTGAAAAGTGTGACGAGCCTTCATATTTATCCCCTTTAAGTCAGTGTTTGCTAGAGTTTTGCTACAGCAGGATCTTTTTGTATGTATTTATCAGCAGGGATGTCCTTATCCGATATTACTATTGATATCAGTCTGATATTACTATTGGATATCAGTCTGATATTAGCCATAAAAACAAATATTTTATTTTATCGGCCAGCATTTCAATCCCTGAAATGTTTATGCTGATAGAAACACTCTGCTTCTAAATCATTGGCTAATTTTATATGGGTTATTTATTTTTTATACCTTTTGTTGTTGACGTTTGTTCCTTGTTTTAGTGATATTACGGTACTTGATCAAGTCTTTTATAACACTCTATAGTGTAAAATAATTAATAAAAGCTGGGCTGAATCATGCTAATACCGTATCATGTCAGTATTACTATCAGCAATATTGATATCATATCGGAAATGAAATAATTGTATCAGGATATCCCTATTTATCAGGTTTACACATCCACAGTCAGAAAGTATTTGATGGTTAGTGTCACTAAATCTATGAAGGCTCTACTAAGGTGTAGCTCTGGCTGCATGTTTGTTTTCCTGATGGCACATCAGCCCTCTCTCTCTAGCCTTAAGTCATTTTCACCCTCTAATAGTTGTTTTTTTTCTTTATTCCAGTATACATGTCTGTTAACCTCTAACTGTCGACCAATAAACTACCCTGTCTGCTCTAGTAGACATATCCCCATATCATGATGCTATCACCACCTTGTTTAAGATTCTGGAGGTTGTTTTTTATAAGTGAGGCTTGTCAACAACATTCTCCCCAAACTGTCTGCTGTTCTTCTTGTCCTTCCTGTTTTTCTTGTTTCATTCATTTGTCAAACCTTTCATAGACCAGCTGCTATCAGAGCAAAGGGGGTTAAAGGCGATGGCACACCTCACTTTTTCAGATTTATTTTTATTTTATCATGTTGATTAAAAATGATTTTTTTCTCCCTCTGAACATTGATGCTCGTCTTTGTTGGCTTATCAAATATAATATGTTCAGATGTATGAAGTACAGCTTCTACTTTCTCAGAGTGAAATATCCTGTATGGTTAAAAACATTATATAGGAAGTATTACCTGTAGCCTGTGGCAGTATTCTCGTGTATATGCCTACTACCTTTATCTATAATTTGCATATTTTTTTCTTAATAAGAATATTTTAATTTGACTAAGTCTGGTTTCACACAGTGGTTGTTTTTAGTAAATATCTTACCTGTTGTAAATAGTTTTAGTAAAGTTATCAAGGAGGTAAATGGATAAATTCAGTTGTAGGATGAAGATCGACAGCTTGTCTGATTGAGACTTTGATTAAAAACTATCAGCTTGCAACACTTTGAAATTCTGTAAAAATAGGAAGTACACAGTGTCACTTCCATCGCAGTATTTATTAGAAAAACTGAAATAATTTAGGCTTTTAGGATAATAAATTGAACATTTTTAAAAAGGTTTCACTAAAGAGTGTGATGCTGTAAAGGTTGCTTTGCTGCTCGGTGGCCCAGTTTTTAGAACATACATGGAGTTTGCTTGTTCTCTCCATTCAGGTGTTTCTAAATCCTCCTCAGGTGGGATTTTTTTTTTTGTTTCGTGCATTGAGTGTTTTTTTTTCTCTAGTGATGGACCGGCAGCCTGTTCAGGTGGCCCTTTCCCAGCAGCCCCCATTCTGACCTCAGAAGGATAAAAAAAAAAACAAATATGTCCAGAAACAGCTATTTTTGTCATGGCATTTTCTATTGTATTAATTCATGATAGTTTGACTACATCAGTGATTCTGTTTATTTAATTTTATTTACATCTTTAACTATTCGTTTCCCCTTTAGGTACCCTCACTGTTGAGCAGATCTACCAGGACAGAGACAGATTTGCCGCTTTAGTGCGGGAGGTTGCTTCTCCCGACGTTGGACGCATGGGCATCGAGATCCTCAGCTTCACAATCAAAGTGTGTAACTGGTTCATTACTATCAGACCTCTGATTCTGATTTCACTTACTGTCAGGGGGGTACTGTCATAACTTGCCATTTTGTATCTCAGTGTCTGTTTTCCCTGCTGGCAGGATGTTTATGATAAAGTTGAATACCTGAGCTCACTGGGCAAAACTCAGACAGCTGCAGTGCAGAGGGACGCAGACATCGGGGTGGCAGAGGCTGAGAGAGACGCAGGCATCAGGGTAAGAAGAGCTTTAAGAGGGGAGAAAACACATTTTCTCTCTGCTTATAATCTTCAGTCTTAATATTTAAACTTTCTCTAGGAAGCTGAGTGCAAGAAAGAAATGATGGATGTGAAGTTTGTTGCCGATACCAAAATGGCTGACTCCAAACGAGAGCTGGAAATGCAGAAAGCCTCCTTCAACCAAGAAGTGAACACAAAGGTAATCAGTTGAACGCTTTCTGTTGTGGGATATTTTGTATATATAGAGAACTGAATGTTATCATGAAAATGTTTTTATAGAAAGCAGAGGCTCAGCTGGCGTATGAGCTGCAGGCAGCCAAGGAGCAGCAGAAGATCCGTCTGGAGGAGATAGAAATTGAGGTGGTTCAGAGGAAGAAGCAGATCACGATTGAAGAGAAGGAGATTGACCGAACTGAGAAGGAGCTCATCGCCACCGTGAAGAGACCTGCAGAAGCTGAGGCCTACAAGATGCAACAGCTGGCCGAGGGACAGAAGTACGTCTTCTTCTAGATCCACTTAATTCACTCCTTGAATATGAGAGATTTACATATTGGAACTCTATTTCTCACCTCATATAAAGGCTGGACATCATGTTTATTTGGAAGATTGATCTCTATTAAGTTAATTCTACATCACGCTTAAGTTATTGTGTAACTTAAACAATTTAGTTTTGTTACATTAACAGTTAAATGCTTAATTTCTATCCTATTTACTAATAGTTTCAATTGGATCCAGGTTTGTGGAACTGGGTTTTAATCGGATGCCATACAGAGTTCATGTTATAACTTTGAAACGGTGAAAGAAAAAAAGCTAAAACTGAATATCATTTACAATGTTGCTTTATAAGGAACTAGTTTTATTACATTGTTTCCACAGGTCATTAAAATTAATTAAATTATTATTTTTTAAATTAAGGACTTAATTGGAATTAATATTAATTAAATGTGATTATCGTGGCATTTAAAATGCTTTATTTAAAAAGAAAAAGTTAATAAAAACAATTGAGTCACATATATTGTATTCGCAATATATTTGCGCTGAACTGCTTCCAGTTGATCGTAAAGCTTTATGTTCTGATAAGAAGCTTGAGGCGGAGAAAAAGGTAGAGAATGAGAAAATGCAAATTTCAACAAAAGTGGCTGGAAAACGAGGAATTTGGGACACGGCTGCAGCCTGTGGGAGCTAAAGGTGATGATTTTGCCGTGTTATATATATATATATATATATATATGTGTGTGTGTGTGTGTATGTATATGTTAGGGTTGTCGTGATACTAAACTTTTCAACTCGATACCGATACTAAGGAAAATATTCGATACTCGATACCATTTTCGATACCACAAGGAAAAAAACAAAGAAAAAAAAATTCTCAGTAGCTGCACCTGTTACAAAAAAAAAAGTCTGAAACTGAAAAGTGCACAGAATTATTCAATCACACAGTGTTCTGATTGTGCATTTTCCTCTATTCTGCACTTTAGATGAATGACTGCTTAGGTGCCACTGGTGGTGGCACTGTATCGATACTTTTAAAAATGAGTATTGTATCCGGATACAACATTTTGGTATCGATACTTTTTTGAGTTTCGATACTTTTGACAACCCTAATATATGTATGGGTACAGTCATGGGTACTTGTTGATGGCATTAGAATTATTTCTAAGAGGATTAAAGGACCATTAAAAATCGGTAAATTTGAGTTACTCATTCCTGTATAAACACTGTATTATACAGATTACCATCTATGGTGTAGCAGACAAAAAAACCAAGCCTGGAAAAATCCCTCCGGGATGGAATAAGCACCAGAGTTCCTAAATTTAAGATAATAAATTTGGTTTATCGCACGGTTATCCTGCCAGTTTCCAGTCACTGAGGAGTTGTGCTTCTGCTTGTTCAGGATGAAGAAGGTGCTGACGGCGCAGGCAGAGGCCGAAAAGATCCGGTTCATCGGTGAGGCAGAGGCGGCTTCTATCGAAGCTGTGGGCAAAGCTGAGGCTGAGAAGATGAGGCTGAAGGCTGAAGCTTACACGCAGTACGGAGAGGCAGCCAAGACTGCTCTGGTTCTGGAGGCTCTACCCAAGGTAGGAGGAGGGCTTTTATTAAATCATCACCACTTTTCTCTCTTTTTCACACTGCTATAGTTACACATGTCTTAGAGCTTATATTTATATCAGTTGGTTATAAATATAAAGTTTTTTTTTTATTACGCTTTATGATATTGATTTAAACCTTAAATCTAATCATTAGATAAACAGTTAGTTCAATTAAAAACTGGCTGTAATGTGTTTTATGTCACGGTTTGAAGTTGTTCAAAATGAACCGGCTCATATGATTTAATCATCATCCAGTGATGCCGCTGAGAGCCTGACGCTTTAATGCTGCCCTTGTTGTTTCAGATTGCCAGTAAGGTGGCAGCACCTCTGTCCAAGACCAATGAGATCGTCATCTTGAGCGGCGAAGGAAGCCGCGTGACTGGAGAGGTGAACCGGCTCCTGGCCGAGCTCCCCGTCTCTGTGAACGCCCTCACTGGGGTGGACCTGACCAAGGTGAGAGCTCCGCTTTTCATGCTTAAACTCAAGATTTGCTTTGATTTGTTTAAAGCTTCTAACTAGTTTAGGTCAATCGATGACATTAGAAGCAGATGTCCCTAACCCATGCCTGTTTTTAGACGAGCTGATGTTAAACAGTATTTTACTGATTGAAAATAAAGATTAAAGGTGCCGCAGGAGATCTTGGAAAAACGATTCCAGCAAGCTATATTTTTGACGATACACAGCCATGCCTCTCCCTTCAGACCAGCCCTTGAAACTGAGCCGAGACTGAGTGCTTGTGACACGAGCTAACAACAACATAACAGTTGCTAGCTTCCAGCATGGCGTCCTCTTCTACTAAAATACTACTAAGACAAAAAGTTAGTATCTCACCTATCAAGAAGAAATACAGCGACCATGGCCTCGGTTTGAAGCTGCTGCTGCTCCTTCAGCCTTCGCCAGCATTCAAATGCTTTTCCGATATATACTCTGGCCTTTGCTCTTTCTTTGTCGGCCTTTCTCTTAGCAGCAGCAATTTCAGATATACTTCTCTTCTCAGGTGTTGAAGCCTGTTCGGCCATTGTCTTCAGTAGAACTAACGCTTTCCTTCCGCTGCTATTGAGACAATATGGAAGACTGAACTAAGTGACTCGCAGATGAGTTATGATTCGTTCATGTGTCATGGTACGCGCAGAGGGGGGAGGGAGAAGCAGACGACCCTGATTGATGTGTCAGAAACCAGTAGTGGACCACGGACCGTGTTTTGGTGGACGTTAGTCATTGATTTCATACTGTAGCGGGGAGCATTTATTTTCGTTTCACTGCTTTTTAAACGACTGTAGGGAGATCCTCAAGCCACATGGTAGAAAATGCGTCAGAAAAGATCTCCTACTGCACCTTTAAATGATTAAGAGTTGATCTGTTTAAGCTCTCTATACCCTCTTATATTAGTAGTTAGCACATTTAGCATCACTAAATAAACTTATTTTAAGTCTAAGATTTCCAAAGGATGGCCAATATTTATAGGGCAAGACAACAATCAAAAAATGTTTGCACAGGTTTCTAGATTTGTAAATGTTTAATTTCTACCCATAAATTAGTGATTCTTACATGTATACCTGCAAAGCTGTAATTTTTTCATTTGTTCTTGTATCTTTAAACCTTAAAACATCTGATGTCACAGGAATACCTGAGCTGACAACATTTGATGACTTACCAATAAGGAAAACCTACTATTGAAATTAAATCTGTGATGTTAGCAAATCACAAAAAGATAAAACGGTGTTTTTGCCTGTTTAAGTTAATCCTTATCTGCTCAAGCCAGGTTGAGAAAAACTTCCAAATTACAGAATAGAGTCGTATCTCTGTATCATAGCAGCCATGATGAACAGCTCCTATGATGATGCTTCTAGAAGCCCTTCTTCACCCTTTGTGCTCTATGACAACATTTTAAATGTGATTCTGCATAGCTTCAGGACCAATACCATATTATCAGGATGGGTTAGGGTTTGGATGGGTCCAGCAGACAAGCAGATTTCTATGATCCATGAAGTTCCTCTTACTTCCACTGCACACCTCAGCAAACAGATGTTTTATTTAAGGATTAGCAGCTGAGATGTAGAAAATTTTATATTTTAAAGCTTTTCCAGTTGACAGTGTGCTGCTTGTTATCATCCTTATTATCACCCCATCTTCAGCTATGAGACTGAAGGAAATCCATCGCCAGCCCTCCTTATTTATCAGCTCAATCCTTCTGATCCCACAGATCCCTCTGCTCCAGAAGATGGTCGGCCCACAGTGCCAAGCGGCTGTGTGATGCAGCAGACAACCAGGCCTGAGATGTGTATCTGCCTCAAGCATGGGAAGGTTTTTCAGTCAGATCTCCCTCGTGCAACTGCCTTCAATTCAACCACGAACACTTGACACCAACCAATGGGTTGTTTTTTTTCTACTCTTTTTAAGTTCATTTTACTGTTATATTAAAGAAAAAAACAACCTATTTAAGTTCAGCTGTATGGAAGCTTGTTTTTCTTCAGTTCATCCCTTTTCTGCTTCAATCTGTCTCCAAAAACAGAGACTTGATTAAACATGATTAAAACAGAACCAGAGGTGTTCTGTATTCTGCGGTGAAGCTGGATCAGACTCCTCCCTTTGGGTGTTAGTTCACCTTTGGAAGCTGTGCGGGGATGCAGCTCCTGCCTCCCCCTGCCTGCTTTTAAAGACGTCTTTAGCTTGTTTCTAACTCTGGTAAATCCGCTCCATCTGTGTAACTGTAAGACCTTAGCGGTCATTAAATCACTTGCGTGATAATCATCACGTCACCCGTCTGGCTCTTTAGATTACTGTCTGTTAATTCTCCTTTCAACAGGCTTTCAGTTAAACTGGGGTTTTTCCTTGACTTTTATCAGATGTTTGAACGCACCTGCTAAGCAAACAGAAAGCCATACATAGCCTTAAAAAAGAGACCCTGCACCTCAGCTGGGGCCACTTAAACCTTTTCTATTACCTCAAGTAGCAAACATTAGACTGTCAGGGTCTGCAATCATTTTAGCTCTGCTCACTGTTAGCTTCCCTCTTCACCCTTTGAAATGTTTACATCACAAGCAACTGCTTTGATGACGAAGCAGAAATGAAATGTCACTTCCTGGATTTGTGTTTTGTTGCTGTTTGGTTTGATTGATGCGACATGAGGCCCAGTAAAAGGTCCAGTTTCTATTGGATAAATCGATCCAGTTCTTCGCTCTGCTTCTTATGTCAGACGGCGCTGATTGTGATATAAATGTGCTTGTTTTAATATCTTAGAAGATTAGATATTCACTTCTTTGGTGTTATCTTATTTTAGTTTGTTACATGACAGAAATCTAATTGTACAGCATACAGTGAATGTTTTGCTGCCTTTGTTTGTATTATTTTTCAGCGAACAGCTAATGGAAGAAAAAAAAAAACACTTTGAGGAATTTTATGACCACTTTCAGAATCTGTGACCTTGACACCTTTTCGTTCATTTCGCCTCTGAGTTTTTTAGTCGGTGTTTTCTGTGAAATAAAACCCTTTTGTTGTGTGTTTTGTTTTGAAGCGCCTGTGTTTTATGGAGCGTTTTACGACCAGAACTGATCCAGGCGAACCTGTTAAATCCTGTTATTTTCTCTCATTTGTGTCGGCCAGTACTTTTAACGGACGTTTAGTTTCAGCCGTTTCCAGGAAGTGAGTCATTCCGACCTGAATGCAGCAGCCCATTCAGGCTGATGGATAGTCTTCCCATCAGTCACTCTGCTGCACATTCAGTTACCGGCAGCTCTCTCCATCACTCAACACTTCCAGTCACACCTCTTCATTTTACAACTTGTATGAAAACATACTTAAATATGAATATATTACAATCTCTCTTGGATTTGTCATATTTTAAACTTTGTGCAGGAAAAAAAATAGTTATTGCTCAGTTATACTGAAAAGAACAGTGAGGATCTCTTTGTAACGGATTTAAATGTAGGAAATTAGATTTCCTTAGTGCCTTTGTTAAAGTACCGAGCTTTCTGCTCTCTGTGCAGATCGACTGTATTCAATACACGCCTCGAAGTTATGATGGGATTTTTGTTAATGTGCTTTCGCCTAATGTTGTAGAAGAAATAAACTTTATTATACAGTTAAATGGTTATCAAATAAACAAACTATATACATTAAATAGCTTTTATTTTCAAACTTTGACCTCATTAGTTGTTTTGGCCATTATATTTGTGCCAAAGATTGCAAATCCTAATGTCTAATCAGATGCAACTTCTTGTGACTTAGTTTAGCAATTGAGGAAATCACCAAACATTTTTAAACCTATGCCTTAACTCCCATGTTTATCTCAATCGTCTGTCTGTTGTAATCTGTTCACTCTGTTAATGTTTCATTTAGAAATAGTTCTGTGGCTTCTTCTCACGTACAGATAACTGCAACGAGAGGTCATGCTGCATGGAAAGTTAAGCATGTTGATGTTATTTGGTGTCGTGTCACCCTCGAATAAAAACTTATATCACGTCTGTCTGTGTGAAATTTCTCTTGGGTGTAAACATTTGCTTTAGAGCTCAAGGGTAGTAAGAAATATAACGACTTCACAGAAGGCTGACGGATTATGCAGCAGATGAGGGATTTTCTGATGTAGTTCATTTTATATCACATTCTGATTTGAGTGAAGAAATAAAAGGCTGCAGTAAAATGAATGAGAACATAAAAAGGGTTCATAAATATTTCCCTCCTGTTTTAAAAGAGTAGTCATACCGGTGGGAGACAGTAGAGGTCACTGCAGACACATTTTTAACACCAGGAGGCTTTGATAACGAAAGTTACGTATGTAACTACGGTTCTATGAATCCCGGATGACCGCCAGAGGGCGGTGCTGAAAGCACTGAATGTTCCCTTCGGGCATGCGCAGTTCGAGTAATTATACCAACAGAGTCACACCTGTGACACCGGATGACCACTCAGAAGCTATATAGCCTGGTGTCATCCTTTGCTCTGCTCCTACAGAATCTTCTCGCAAAAGCAAGGATTCTGAGTGACAGAGAAGCTCTGGCGGTCATCCGGGATTCATAGAACCGTAGTTACATACGTAACTTTCGTTCTATTTCATCCCTACTGACCGCCAGAGGGCGGTGCTGAAAGCACTGAATGACTAATGCCAACGATGTCACAAGGAATCCTGAGCACATACCTCACAGAGGAGGCCCAGCAGAACCTTGTAAAAGGACCTGACCCAGGGGATGAGGGGCAGCCACATTGACACTGTAGAACCTGGTGAAGGTGGTTGGGGAAGCCCATGAAGCAGCAGCACATATAGCTTCCAGCGGAACCCCTCTCAAAGCAGCCCAGGAAGCGGTGACGCTCCTGGTGGAATGTGCTCTCACACCGACTGGCAGGGAGCAGTGACCTGCAGCGTAGGCGTGGCAGATGACACTCACAATCCAATGGGACAGACGCTGTTTAGAAAGAGGACAGCCTAACCTTGGACCCCCATAGCATAGGAAAAGCTGGTCCGAGCGTCTCAGATTGGCGGTGGCTGCAATGTATGCCTCCAACGCTCTTACTGGGCACAACAACTCCGACTCATTCTCAGTTGTACCAGATTGAGGCTGAGACCGAGCGAGCCGCAATGGCTGGTTACGGTGAAAAGGAGACAACACCTTAGGCACAAACGCAGTATTAGGCCACAGGGTAACACCAGAGCCATCTGGATTCCACCTGATACACCTAGGGCTGACAGAAAGAGCATGTAGCTCGCTGACCCTCTTAGCTGAGACGATAGCCATCAGGAAAGCAGCCTTGCAGGAAAGCCACTTGAGTTCTGCTTGTGCCAAAGGCTCGAATGGAGGGTGGCACAGAGCTGTGAGAACCAATGGCAGATCCCAATCTGGGGCTCGTGGGGCTGGCCGCTGGCACAACCTACGAGCACCACGCAGAAAAAGTGAAACCAGTTCATGGCGCCCCACTGTACGGTTGTCAACAGTTCGGTGAAGACATGAAATTGCTGCAACATACACTTTAAGGGTCGAAGGAGAGCGGCCCTTATCAAGGAGAGACTGGGGGAACTCCAAAATAGTGGGCACCGAGCAGGAAAGCGGGTTCTCATTGTGGGCAGAGCACCACTGAGAAAAGAGGCGCCATCTGTTAGCATACTGCAGCCGAGTGGAGGAAGCCCTAGCACTCAATACGGTGTGTCTCACGGTGTCTGTACACCCAGTCAGCCTCCCAGGGGCCATGCCCACAGCTGGAGACGTTGAGGGTTGGGGTGCCATATCTGTCCCCCCAACTGAGACAGCAGATCCCTCCTTGCTGGAAGACGCCATGGAGTACCGTGACACAGACTCCAAAGCAGCGGGAACCACGGCCAGAACGGAGCTACCAGCAACACTCTGTGGCCCTGCTCGAGAACCCTCCGTAGAGTCGGCCAAACCAGTGAGAGGGGTGGAAAGGCATACAGGAGAACCTGCGGCCATGGATGAGCCAGTGCATCCTGGCCCAGTGCGCCCGCCATCCCGGTTAGGGAATACCATAGGGGGCAATGGGTCGACTCCTCTGTGGCGAACAGATCTACCTCTGCCTGCCCAAAGAGGTTCCAGATTATGCGCACTACGTTGGGGTGAAGAGACCACTCTCCCGGAGCAGGTGCCTGGCGGGATAGAGAGTCCGCAACCTGGTTCTGCCGTCCTGGCAGATACGCTGCGCGCAGGGTACACAGACGGAGATACGCCCATTCCAGGAGATCCCTCGACACCTTCAAGAGACGTGCTGACCTGGTGCCACCTTGGTGGTTTATATGATAAACAACAGAGGTGTTGTCTGTCCGAATCAGCACGTTCCTTCCCTCTAGGTGGGGCAGAAGGCACCTGAGGGCCATGTGCACAGCCCGCAGCTCCAGCACATTTATGTGTTCGGTGCGCTCCCTTGGGTCCCAGAGACCCCGAACAGCTCTGTGTTGCCACACGGCACCCCAGCCCATGAGGCTGGCATCCGTGGTGACCACCTCCCTTCGACACACTACTAGCCCCATTGGAACACCACTGGACAAAAGGGTCCCGTCTCGCCAAGGAGCTAGGGCATGGAGGCAGCTCCTGGTCACCATTAGCCTGCGATGCCTGTGCAGCCTGGCGTCTAGGCGAAAGCTGTTGAGCCATCGCTGCAAAGGACGCAGAAGGAGCAGCCCTAAGGGCACGACACGAGTGACTGATGTCAGTTTGCCCAGCATTCGCAGGAATGTGATGTAGGGAAACTCCCTGCCCAGTCTGAATCGACGGACAAGCTGGAGTATGTCGTCCACCCTGTGAACAGATGGACGGGCCATCATGGTAGCAGAGTCCTGAGGCATCCCAAGAAAGGTGGTTGTCTGAGATGGAACCAGACAACTCTTTGCCAAGTTAACTTTGAGGCCTAACATTGACACATGAAGTAGAAGCTGGGACGTATCCCGAGAGGCAGCTACCTGAGAGGGAGCACAAAGAAGCCAATCGTCCAGGTATGGCAGAATCCTGACTCCGGAGGCCTGTAGAGGAGAGAGGGCTGCTTTCACGCATCGAGTAAACACCCTCGGGGAAAGGGAGAGCCCGAATGGGAGCACCCGGAATTGCCAATGGCGCCCCCGATAGGCGAACCTGAGAAAACGGCGATGTTCTGCCGCAATAGGCACGTGAAAGTAGGCGTCTGTCAGATCTACTGATGTAAACCAATCTCCCGCCACAATGGTCTGAAGGACCTCTGTTATGGTGAGCATGTGGAAGGGAAGGACCTTCAGGTACCGATTCAGTCCCCTTAGATCTAAAATGGGGCGAAAACCGCCGGTCTTCTTGGCCACAAGGAAGTATGTGGAGTAGTAGCCTCTGGGTTGCTGCAGAGGATCTACAGACTCGATTGCCCCCTTGCCCAGGAGGGCGGAAAGCTCCTGGTCTAGTGCCTGAGATTTCACCGGGTCTGTGATGACAGTCATCTTGACCCGGTGTGAGAGGGGGGGCCGCCGTCGGAACTGGAGCCTGTAGCCATTGGTTAAGGTGGCAACCACCCATGGATCTACGGCATGAGCAGCCCAGAAATTCAGCTGCTGATGGGAAAAATGTCCGACGGCTGGCCCGGTGGCATCATCTTCTATCCCCACGGCCCCTGGGGGCTCTGGGGGGAGGGCGTCCAGGATTTGAGGCCCGGGTCTGTCTAACAGGGCGGCAGACTGGCTCACGAAAGTCCCTTCTCGGTCTCTGCCGCACATCATGGGGATAGGAACCAACAGGTCTGCCACCGGTCTGAGGTCGTGGCTGAACGCTGGGGGTAGTGGCAGGGCGGCCCGAACGCTGGGGAAAGGCAGGTATGCTCCTGCGAAGGCCGGAAAGCTGCTGGCTAGTCTGACGTGCCTGAGCAGTCCGTTCCAGCGCCTCCAAGGCAGCTGATCCAAACAGCTCCCCTGGTACAACCGGGACACCCCTGAGGGTCCTACGGCATGCTTCAGTCAGAGGAGACTGTGCCAACCAGACCTGTCTACGAGCTTGGACAAGGAAAGACATGACCCGTCCAAGCTCTCTGGTCATCAGCGCGAAGGCCTGCAGCGCTGCGTCACTATAACCAATCGCCGCACTTGCACCACCAGTGTCCTGAACAGATGCAGACAGGGCAAACATGAGGTGCGCCAGGGAATTGCCAAGGCGGCCAGCACGCGCTCCTGCATTGTACGCCTTACAGAGGAGGTCATCTGTAACCCGACATTGAGTCCGCGGGCACCGGACATCAGGACGCAGGGCTTCATCTGGTGACACAATCAGTGAAGCAACAGCTGGTTCAATTGCTGGCATACGGTCCAGGCCGGCCTTCACTGACTCATGCATGGCAGCTAATACACGACCATCCGAGGAGAGACGCGACAGCGCTCTCGGTTCCCGCCAACAGGCGTGTAACTCCTTCAGGTACTCCTCTGATGGAGGTACAGAAAAAGGAGTAGGAGCCCTTCCACGTCTGAAAAAAGCACTGCCAGAGCTGGATGCCTCTCCTTGTGGGAGTTCCAGCTGCAGCTGCTTCAGGGCCATAGACATGACCTCCCGCATGGAACCGTCACCGGCCTCTCCAACCGCACTCTGAGATGAAAATGAACCAGCCTCAGAGGCTTGAGAGGACCCTGCCTCCTCCTCATCTCTAAAATGAGAAGCGGAGGCAGCCAGAGAGATAACGTCATCCTCTACAACCAGCTCGGGCATTGGTGGGGAAGAGAGCCCAACCACTGGGAGCGAGGGATCAGATTGCCGTGTCTGCAACAAGGACTTCATCTCTGCCAGCTCTGCTGACAACTGCTCCACCCTTGTGGACAGGCCCTGGTCAGGGTTGGCCCGCTTCCTCCGGGGGAGGGGCACAGATGCTGTGGTCCCACCACGGCGCTTAGAACGCTTGGGGGGAACCACCTGCCCAGAGGGCGGAAGGTCCGAGCCCTCCTGGGGGCACAACTGGGCCAACCGGGCCACCCTCACTGCATGGGGCATAAAGCTGCAATTCATACAGGGGTTCTCAGACAGCG